CCGCCATTTTGTTCAAACATGAAAAAATAATAGTAAATTAATGGAAGTAAATGGCAAAGTAAGATAATTTAGATGTTAACTACCAATTTATGATGTTGTCATAGCCACTGAGATACTCCATACCTGGTTTTGCGCCTAGAGTAAAGTTCAGTGAATTTAATATCAAAATTATATCTATACAGTGCCCCCCATTTCAAAATCCTGGACAGGCCACAGAATACAAAATGTCAAACTCAACCAATCAAACTTTAACAATCTAATTTTAGATACTGTACGGTATGTTAGATCAGATATTGCCCCCTTATTGCAATAAATAAAGATGAGATTTGTTGAATATAGTTTTTTTTTTTCCGTCATTCTTTTTGTCATGTTTTTTGTCATGTTAAATCCCCAATAATGAAATGGAATTTTAAAAATTGGTTGTACCAGTCGGTAGAGAGTAGCAGCTGGATGAGTCATTGAAATGGACAGCTTGATAAAAAAATAAAATAATCAGGACATAGAGTGACAAAGCAAGATTCCACAGGGGTTTACCTTTTCACAGGAACTGATAGACTTTAACCACAAGTGGTGTAAAATATAATATTGTAGTGTACGGTAGAAAAATCAAAAACCACAATTATCAGCTTCATTTTCTAGTCTTATTAAAATTTGATTAATCTTCATTACTTTTCCTTTAATATTAAAAAAAAAAACAGTACTGTAAGTGTACCAGACCATATTATTATGCTTAATATTTATAACTACAGTACAGCACCTGCTATTTAACATAATGACTGTACAGTAAGTCATTCAAGGTGAAATCAAAGCATGGCAAAATCTGCTTTAGCAAAAGACAAAGTCTTCTTCCCAAAGAATGTCTTCATATATACTAGACAAATATCTGTCATTAGAAAACTTTGAAAAAAAAAAAAAGAATACAAAATTTAATTAAAAAATTTAAAAGAAATAAAATAATAAACTGATGAGATACGGACCTTTCAGTCTATAGACATTTTTAAATTGACACCCAGAAAATATAACTGTTATTTTTCTATCCATTTTTCTGCTGCAGCTAAGCGACAATACAAAAGGTAAAAAGCCTTGACTTACATTTCCGACAAAAGTATACAATACCCTGCCTTCTATAGGAAGCCATGTCAAGCTTTACTGTAGTTTTCTGACAGGCTAAAAAATCAACCAAAGTTATGTTTGATTGAAGATAGTGCCCTCTATAATGTTTATTTCTAGCTGGCAGTAACATTTATTGTATAACTGTCTGGGAATGGGTTGAGCCATAGTGTAAAGTAAGTTTAAAATATTTATTTACAATATATTTCATTTTTGTCAGTAATTCAAGGCACAAATAATTTTAAAAGTTCCATTCTAAACTTTTTTAGTTAGGAAGAGCGGAGCATTTTCAACAAAAATTACTTTAAAAGAAGAGAGGTTGGCTTAAGCCAACGTCAGTATGGTTACACTTTTAAATGTTTAGGTTATTTAACCCAATTTCAGAACTGTTTACATTAATGCATGATTAGGGCATTGTAGCAAGGACTGGAGCTATACAGTAGCTTGGTGGTTAAGATGCTTGGCTTCCAAATCCCTGGGTCATGAGTTTAATTCCTATCACAGTATGTGATACTCAAAATAAGACTTACAGTAGAGGAACTTTGGTGTATGTTGGTCTTGTGAAAGGGATTACCAATAGAAACTTAATGAAGTTTACTACTGGCATCCTTGTCCCTTGTGCCTAAAAATAAATTAATAATAATAATTATGTATAGGTGTAATTTTTGCCCTACCTGACGTGGAAATGTACCGAATACTCAGTACATTTGAAAACAACTGCGAAAAAAATTGCAAGTTGTTCTCGGGTGGGACTCAAACCCACGATCTCCAGATCACTAGCCTGGCATCATACCTCTAGACCACCGAGCTTGCATCTGATGGCCAGGGTTGAATTCGAGTCGAAGTAAGCAGCGGGTACTGCAGCGGGTACTGCAGCGGGTACTGCAGCGGGTACTAATAATAATTATTCAAAAAAAAGCATGAAGTGAGCCCCGTAATGTTTATCCATAAATAAAAATGTTTTCATGGTTTAGGAATGGGTTCAACAGCTAAAAACATTTCAAATTATTGAATTTCAATATAATTTATTATCTCTGAAGTGGCTGCATTCAGTCTTTTTCTGCTCGGATATATTTTGCATACAAAGAGCACCCTGTTGGCATAATCCCAACTACTCTGATCAGAAAATGAGTTGGGATGGGGGTATAGTTTGGCTGGGGATAGGACTGGGATGAAGATGGAGCTGGACTGGACTGGGGGTAGAGTTGGACTGGACTGGTGGTGAAGCTAGGTTGGGCTGGTATAGAGCTGGGCTAGGTTGGGGGTAGAACTGGTTTTCAAATTCAGGAGAAATGAAATCTCAAAGTAGTTACTTATTGACATTCCTAAAACTAAATGAAAATTATACAAAAACATTCTTGAGTTTGGTTATTCAAAAACCCAGTGTAAC